TCTTCAGCTTTCTGAACCACAAAACAGGAGATTCTAATCATGTCACCATCATAGGATTGCTGGATGAAATAAGATGAATGTAAAAGGCATTTTAAATACCTCTAAAAGAAACATTTGATTATTAGAAATTGGTGGTATTTTTCATTATAGCCTTATTGACAAACAATAGCAGGACAGGAGAATCAAAATAGAAGCAGAGAAATTGCATGTTTCCATTAAGTGCTATATTCACATTACTAAATGGGCTAGAATCTTGAAATTCAGAACAAGAAAAAAGGTAGACGAGATATCATTAGCTAATGGACTGCATTAAAAAGACAGAAATGAGGTAGGAGAAGACAATATTTCTTTTGATACAATGAATTAAAAAAGAAGAAAATAGGTATTTGTGGTCCTTTTACTATGCATGCCATTTATTGGTATACATATAATTTAATAAATAATGACTGTTATAAATGAATAAATTCCTTTTTTTTGTACTACTCAAAATAAATTTTAATGCTAATACATGCCAGTTTAAAGCAACTGAATCCCTTTTTAGCTATAAAAATCAATATGGCAATTAGACTTTTTTACACAATATCAGCTCATTCACTAAGTTCAATGCTTGTCCTCAATAATTCTTTGGTGGTGAGGTAGCCTAAAGGAACCCATCTGTTCAGCATATCTAAGCATTTCAAACAATCAATAAACAAACATATCTTTTTTTTAGTTGCAAAACTTATTTATTTCCCATCACCATTAATTCCCGTATACCCTCTTCCACCTCCATCCCCTGCCCCCCACCACACTGTTGTCCCTATCTATAAGTTATTTCTCTTTTTTTTCTTTTTTGTTTAACCCCTCCATCCCCACAACCACCCTCCACCACCAGAGCTGTTTACCTAATCTCTATGTATGATTCTGTCGCTATTTTGCTTGTTTATTCACTTTGTTTATTGAATTCTATATATGTGTGAAATCATATGGTATGTTAAAATGGCTACGGTACATTTACACAATGAAATACTACTCATCTGTCAAAAGGAAGAAAATTTTACCATTTGCAATGGATGGACCTGGAGAACATTATGCTAAATGAAACAAGCCAGTCAGAGAAAGACAAGTACCATAAACAAATGTATCTTAAACTCTACTTGTCTCTCTCTATTTTAGAAGTTAGGAACAATTCAAGAAAAATAAACAATCTATGACAGCAAGATACATATTATAGGTGGGAGAAATATATATCAATACATATATATGAAATCCTTAATAAATAATATTGCACATAATTATATATATAACAATTGGACAATACAGGACAAGCTACTAATTCTTCAGTCAGGCAAAATTTAAAATTTGATTTGAGAAATTAAATCTATGTTCACTTAATCTATCAAGAAAATCCTCAAGGAAAAAATAAAAATTAAGCAGTCCAGAAGGATAATTAAATCATGGATGGTTAAACCAAGAAGCAAAAAGTATTTCTTTCAGATTGCACTCGTTTGCTAGGGCTACCATGAAGTACCACAAACTGGTGGCCATAGCAACAGATATTTGTCTCACAAATCTACAGGCTAATGGTCTAAAATCAGGGGGTTCGAGGGCTGGTTCTTTCTGAGGGCTGTGAAGGAGAATTTGTTCCATGCCTCTTGCTTAACTTTGATGCTTTGCTGGAAATCTTTGGTATTCCTTGACTTATAGGCACATCAACCTGATCTCTGCCTTCACAATATGATCGTGGCACCTCTCTGCTTAAAACCTGTCATTGGCTTCCCCTTGTTCTTGTCAGGAAACCTCAGTCTTTATTGTGCCCTTTAATTACCTGCTTCCCACCTTCAGTCTCATCAGGCACCTCTCCCTTGCTCTCTGCCATCTGTCAGTTCTTACAAAGTCCTTCTCTCCACCTAGAGGCCTTTAGACATGCTGATTATTCCTCCTAGGAAATTCCCTTCTTTCCCACCCTTACTTATGTGCCTGGCTGATTTTTACTTACTCCTCAGATTTCAGAAAAACAAAAAACAAAACCATCTTTTCTTCAAGCACTACCACCCACCCAGATCAGACCCCTGTTAACCTGTTTCTCTTCCAGGGCATTTGCCGCATGTGCAATTCAATGCCCTTTGGTGTAATGATCTATTTATTATCTTTCTTGCCTAAAAGAATATCAGTCATTATTATATCTTATTTACTGTTTCACCTCTAGCCTGGCCTTGAACAAAGTAGGTATTCAATGCATATGTGTCAAATGAATAAATGAATTTCAATGTTTCCAGTGTTATCTTAACACGGATCAAGTAAACAGTAAAAATCAATCATTTCAATTAAACAACCCCACAGATTTAGTAAATGTATATTACTTACAAATTACCACTTGCTCATTTTTGTATATAATGAAAAGTCATATTTCTTAGAGGACCAGAACTCTATAAGACCAGCTGATAGACAGCATGTGCAATTGCATAACATTTTTTCAAACGTTGCTTCTAAGAAGTCAAAACATCCTTAAAGTTAGCAAAAGCAATAACAAAATAAAACCAAATTTGATCAGAAGACTACAAAGCCTGTTAACATGAGTAACAGAAGATATAATATTAAATGTCTTCATGTATAAAAAATTCAATATCTCTATAATAAACCAAGTTTTTCCATCACTTTCTTAACTTTTGAAGATTACATCCTTAAATGACCAATACATATGATGTAGCAATTTACAAATCATTTTTTAGTCCGATCCATTCCAGATGGCTCTACCATGAATATCCTCCCTCCTCCTTCTCTCCCTTATCACTTTCTCAATCCGGGCCACCAACATCTTTGCCTAGACTCCTGCAGTAGCCTTCCAACCAGTCTTCCTGTGGGCACTTCTGTTCTCCCCACCACATCCAACCCAACATTTCATCGAACACATTGCAGGCAGAACTGTCCTTCCAAGTTTGAGCATGTCATTCCCCTCCTTAGAGTCCTCTTGACATCGTCTTGACCCTGCCTGATTCTTAACTGCCTCTCCTCTGACTTGTCTGCTTCATCACATTATCCTTCTTTCTGTTTCTAGAACAGCCAAGCTGGTTCCTACTTAGGGTCTTTTTACCTGCTATTTCTTCTTGTGGGAATGCTCTGTTCTAGACCTTTCAATGTTGCTTCCTTATCATCAAGTTTCAAGTCAACTGTCAACCTTCCCTCCTCCAGCCTCAGAGGCTTTCCCTGACCATCCTACCTAAATTACTACCAAGTCACTCTCTATCACACCATCCTGTACCCTTTTCTTCCTATTACTTATTGCTACCTGGAATTGCCTTCTCTGTATCAGGAGTTACTCACATAGTCTCTGCCCCTCCCCCCCACTCTACCTCCCACAGAATGTAAGCTCTTGAGCACAGGAAATGTATGAGACTTATTCACCATTTTCCATCCAGTCCTAGAAAAATGGTTGGGGTATAGTAAGTGGGTGCTCACTAAGTACTTATTACATGAGTTGAATATAGATAACAACAACAAAAGCAGCAGCTCAAAATAAAAAATAATTATCATAAAAGTAAGTTTCAAAAAGAGGTATCACATGAATTTGTATCATGTGGTTTCATATTATACATATTAACACTATCAGTGGGGCTTATTACATATTAGAATCTTAAATATTGTAATTAAAATACATTATTTTACTAAGTAACTTTAAATACATTTCTTATATATAACCTTTCAAAATGAGGAATTTTAAATAAATCTTCATTATGAATGGGGAAGGGAAGCCATATGTCCTTCCTTAGGCAAAAAAGGAATAGTCTATTCAGAACTGATTCAGAAGCATTTAAAGCAGTGATGGCGAACCTATGACATGCGTGTCAGAGGTGACACGCGAACTCATTTTTTTGGTTGATTTTTCTTTGTTAAATGGCATTTAAATATATAAAATAAATATAAAAAATATAAGTCTTTGTTTTACTATGGTTGCAAATATCAAAAAATTTCTATATGTGACACAGCACCATAGTTAAGTTAGGGTTTTTCAAAATGCTGGCACGCCGAGCTCAAAAGGTTCGCCATCACTGACTTAAAGGAATACTTTGGAGAAAAATGTCAATTTAACAAATAAACACTGACTTTTAAGGCAAGAAAAAAAATCTATTGAAAGCTAAAGGAAACAATAGAAATTGGTTTCCCAACAGCCAATAAATCACTGTGTAGCTAAGCAAAGGTTAAATGTTTATACTTTGGAGGTTTTCCATCTCCAAGGACCAATGGCACATTTTTGACATTTGGAAAGGGCAAGTCTAGAACACTCCAAAGGCCCAAACCCACTGTATCCGTATTCTTCCTTTAAAGACTCACTGGCTAGACACACAGTTAATGAGAATGATTCACATCTGTGCCTCAGGCAAATCATAAATCTTATGCACTTCTAGATACTTTATGAATAGTTAAGCCACAGTATTTATGAATGCCAAGGACTTCCTCACTGTATTTGGATTGTTTCCATGAGAGAATAAACTACCTTGGGTATTAGTTGAGATTTTTAAAAACAACTAGGGAACCATTTATTCCATTGGAGCTATTTACTAAATACCACAAAGCATCGGTACAACTACTGAGATTACTTACGTTAGCAAACAGAAATAGCAGTGGGCACTCTATCTTCCGGTTAATTGATTGCCTTTGTTACACAACATTGTCTGGAAAAATCTGCCTACAATTCTAACTGAAAGCCACAGTTATCATGTGTCAATATGTGAACTACCTGAACATCTAATTATGAAGAAAAAAAGAAGGCAATTTCACAGTGGGAGTATTGTTCTCATTAAAGAAACCAGCCATATTAACTTATTAGTCTGACATATAGCAGATAGCTGAAAAACTTTAATTTGAAAGATAAATTACTTTTAGCTGATTAATATGCTTCAAATTAAATTCACCACTTTTAATGGGCCCATCAACTTGACAACCTGGGAAATTAATAAGTTTGGCATGCAGTAATCTTAGGAAACTTATCCATCTGAGCTACAAATCGTCACCAGGATTACCTTCACAGTAGGCGTTGTCCTCTCGAAGGGCCCTAAAACCATCTCGACAGCTGCAGACGGCCCTGTCGTTCAGATTTCTGCAGACAGAATTCTCCATGCAGTTATGCCTTTCAGAACAAAAGTCATAACCTACAAGAAAAAAGGAACTTATGGAGGTAAATGAACCATGACAAAGCCAATAAACCCCGTCTACTTCATAATTCCTTTTAATTTAGAAGCAATTTTTCCCCACATGATTTTTAAAGTAATATCTTTATCCAGTGTTTACAGAACCACATGCTATGTGTACTAAAAACTTTTTCTTTCTGCCCTAACCGGTTTGGCTCAGTGGATAGAGCATTGGTCTGCGGACTCCAGGGTCCCGGCTTCAATTCCGGTCAAGGGCATGTACCTTGATTGCAGGCACATCCCCAGTGGGGAGTGTGCAGGAGGCAGCTGATCGATGTTTCTCTGTCATCGATGTTTCTAACTCTCTATCCCTCTCCCTTCCTCTCTGTAAAATCAATAAAATATATATTAAAATCCCACCAGTTAAAATATTTAAAAAACAAACAAAAAACTTTTTCTTTCTGTGTAAACTCAATTAATTCCTATTTCAAGTTTATCTATGTCTTGTTTCAGTCTTTGTAAATGCTACCTAGTCCCTAATATTCTAATTACCTGCAACAAAGATTCTTAGAGTCCAAAATGTAGATATACAACACAGGAGATAATACAGTGAGAAAGTGATCTGAGAACTGGTGGTGGAACATTATTAGTAACTATGGGTAATAAAATTCAAGTCAGATGAAATGGGTACACTGTGTATTTAAGAAATGAAACAGACAGCCAGTATCCTTAAAAAAAATTCAAAGCCTATTTAAAAGTGAAAATTACACCACTTCAATCTAATTTTCTCTCAAAATCTGCCAGGCAAAATATGTCCACTCAAAAGAAGAAGAAAGTTTTTATGAATTACAAAGATTTCACAGATTCCAGAGTCTTTATGAGAAGAAAGAAAAATGGAAAATTTTATAAACAGTGACACCAATCATGTGCAATTTCTGAGGATCTCCTTTTCCTGTGTGAATCCCTTGTTCAAAAATAATCTGAGATGCTGAAATGAAAAGCTTGAACACTGGAATCCATACTTAATGGAAATTACATGATTATACATCATTCAAACAATTTTCAAATTGCCTGATGCATAAGTTATCTCTCTAGTAATACATTGTTTAATGAATGACAATTTCAGTTCATGTATAAAAGACTAGAAGAATATATTGCATGTAACTAGAATAAACTCACCTGCCTACAGCCAAGAAAAGCCTTTTACCTGAGCAAATCGTGAAGATGGAAGTTCTAAACAGACTCACCTTATTTGTAATCAAATTACCATAAAACGCAGTGATTCAGTAAAGGGTGGATTAAGCTATACTACAGCCAACAGGTATATCTGGTACAGCAAAAAGGTTGCTGTGCATTCTGATTAGTTGGTATCCATAATGACTACTCTAAATATCACCCAGAATTAAAACATATCCCTAAAGATGACCCCCAAAAATACAGTAGTCCCCCCTTATCCTGGGAGAGATATGTTCAAAGCCCTCCCAGTTGATGACTAAATCCACGGAATAGTATCAAACCCTATATATCATATGTTCATATGTTTTTTTCTTATATATACACACTCATGATGAAGTTTAATTTAAAAATTAGGTACAGTAGGGGATTAACAACAACAATAAAATAGAACAATTATAACATATAACATTTACTGTAATAAAAGTTATGTGAATGGCTTTGGGGCCATTATTAAGTAAAATAAGGGTTACTTGAACACAAGCACAGCAATACCAGGTCTGTTGATCTAATAACCAAGACGGCTACCAAAGGATTAACAGGCGGGTAATGTGTACAGTGTGTGTGTGTGTGTGTGTGTGTGTGTGTGTGTGTGTGTGGCATGCGCGCTCACGCACTGTACAAAGGGCTGATCCATGTCCCAGGCAGGATGTAGCAGGGTGGATTGAGATTTCATCATGCTACATAGAACTCTGTGCAATTTAAAATTTATGAATTGCTTATTTTTGGAATTTCCCATTTAATATTTTTGGACTGCTGTTCACCCCAGTAACTGAAACCATGGATAAGGAGGGACTACTGTATATAGTGAATCACAGAATTGAAATCACTTGCCAAGATTCTTCACAATATAAATCCTCATGATTAAAACATTTAGAAGTAGAAAGTTCATTTTTAAGAGGAAAAAAATTTTTTATTGTAGGGTCTTTTTATTACCTTCTTCTTTAAATAGTTAGATTAAAACCATATTTCTTAACATATGTTCCATTGCCTTTTTACAATGCCTGAGGGGGAATAATTTCAAATAAAAAAATCATCTCCATTCTCTATCCCAATAGCTCAGCATATCATCAACCTAAAATGAAAAGTCTCCAAGAAATCACTTCATGTTGATTCTAAATTAAAACAAAGTCACAAAAACGAAACAAAATAAAAACTGCCCCCCTCCTTAGATACACAGAGAATTAGGAGACTGTCTTCCAACACAATGCTAAACTGTGCATACTTTTACTGCAATGTTTCAATAACTTGTAGAGGGCTGGGACTAGGAACGGGTACAGTTCCTAATATATTTAGATTTTTCTCTCGTAAGTTTATGTTTTTTCAAAACTATCTTTCCATTTCTCACTCTGCTGCATTTTCTCTTCTCCCATATTTCAGATTCTACCCAATCTATTACAGACCATTCCTGTTCTGCCTCCGTAATGGCGAGACCCTTCATCTCAGCATCAAATATTGTGTACAGCCTCACCATGCAGTGTCTAATTGCTACAAGATGACAACTATAAGATAACAACTACAAGTGTGATGCTACTTTCACTGTTGGGTTTAGTTAGGGAGTGCTTTAGTTTTTATCAGAGAGCGTATTTTTTTTATTAATACAGAGACTTGAAAACTGAAAATTTCATCAATAAAATTCAAATTTACTCTAGACAATGTCAGATAGCTATTTTGATTTATTCTCTCAACAAATAAATTCACTGACTATATAATTGATTTCAGCAAGGAAGAGAGAGGGAGAGAGAGAAACATCAATGATGAGAGAGAATCATTGATTGACTGCCTCCTGTACACCCCCTACTGGGGATCCAGCCTGCAACCTGAGCACGTGCCCTTGGCCAGAATTGAACCACGGACCCTTCAATCCACAGGCCAATGCTCTATCCACTGAGCCAAACAAGCTAGGCTGGAAAACCTGGATTTACTTGTATCTCTACCACTCACTGGCTGTGTCAATTAGCCATGCAAGTTAATTAACCTTCCTAAAACCTTCAGTTTTTCTCACCTGTAAAATTAGGATAATATCTTCCTCACAAAAATGTAAGATTCAAATGAGATCATCTATGTAAAAGCATAATAGTATGGTATTTGTTAATAATTAAAGCAATTAGGATATTACTAATAAGCCATAAAACAAATCTGTTGAGATACATATCACAGAAGAAAATTCAAATATTAGTTATAAATGGATGGATCAATAATATAATACAATCTAGCCTTTCTTTCATTTCTTCCTTTGGATTTTAACATCAAAGTTACCAAGTTTTCTATTCCTTTTGTAAGCTTTTCAAATGAAGTTCTGTGTCTTTTACTAAATGTAGTTTTATGAAATATTAGCATGCATTTCTGTGTAACTGGATAAAAAGGGAAGGGTGAATATGAAAGACTATAAGAACAATGTAGATAAAGGTTATACTTAATAACCAGGAGAAAGATAATCCACTGATTTTGAAGTGAATATTTGTTGGCTTCAGGCATCTATTCCTCCTTTTCAGAAAATAAAACCAAGCTAGTCATACTCTGGATGAGCCTGTGTGCGCATAAGGAAATGGCCTCTGCTGCCCCACAGGATAAGGCATTCCTCAGGCCTGGCAACAGTAATTTCTCCAGGTCTGGGCACATGATCCAGTCCAGGCTAATAAAGACAGAGGAAACTCAATTCTGGGTCTTTTGTCCAACTCATGAGCATATTGAACTTTTCTGCTGCTTACTTAGGTATCATCATGATGTGAGCCTGAGAATGGCAGGGGTCTACCTGAGAACACAAAGAGCCTAAAGATAAAGCCACCTCAGAGGAGACAGACTGAGAGAGACACATCTAGGCAGTGGTTCTCAACCTTCTGGCCCTTTAAATACAGTTCCTCATGTTGTGACCCAACCATAAAATTATTTTCGTTGCTACTTCATAACTGTAATGTTGCTACTGTTATGAATCGTAATGTAAATATCTGATATGCAGGATGGTCTTAGGCGACCCCTGTGAAAGGGTCGTTCGACCGCCAAAGGGGTCGAGACCCACAGTTTGAGAACCACTGATCTAGAGAAAGGGGTGGGATTTGCAATCTGATTCAAGCTGCTTACTGGGGCCCCATGTTCCATTGTTTGCTAAAGTCAGTTGGATTAGGTGTTCTATCTTTTGCACCTCAAAGAATACAAACTTATTTAGTTATTATATGCAAGACAATGGATAATCCTGATTTTTCCCAAAGTTTGATTCATATGCGTGGATGATGTGCTGTGCGTTTTTTTTTAACTTAAATTTTATTTTTCAATTACAGTACATTCAATATTCTTGTATTCATTCCATGTGTACAGGATTGTGGTTAGAAAAATCATATATATTAGAAAGTGATCCCCCTGATATTTCCAATACCCACCTGGCACCATACATATTTATTGCAATATTATTTACTGACATTCCCTATGCTGTACTTTACACCCCCGTGGCTATATTGTAACTACCAATTTGTACTTTTAATCTCTTCACTTTTTTCACCCAGTCCCTCAACCCCCTTCCCCTCTGGCAACCATCAGTATGTTCTCTGTTGGATGAACCTTTTTTAAAAGTACTAATAGCAATGGATTTCTTTTCATGTGTATAAGAAAAACATGAATCTAATAACAAATATTCCCATTATTTCCTGGATACCATTTCTTAGGAATGAAACTAAAGCTTTCAACAATGACTAATAACTGATATAAAAAACTAACTAAATGCTATTGGTAACATAAAGATAACAAGAATCCGAAAGGTGTAATTGAATAATGTGGGAAACTGTGAGTTATCCAGAAGTTGGGAGAGAACACCCTCAGCCTTCTGCATATCAATGTTCCTACTACTTATAATTATAAGTCACAGTGAAGTCAATGCCAACTTAAAGTGGGGTATCCAGTAAAAAGCACGTGGTGGTGCTGCACATAGAGAAAGGGGCTGCTGAGGGAGGAAAAGGCAGATATGAAAACTGTATCACATTAAGTCACAGTCCCGTCAAGTCTGCACTGCTTCTGAGATGATACTATAGAAGATGGCCAACTGCCTGGTACCTAGAAGACAGCCTTGGCTGGATTTGAGTTGGTGCCTGGAGATTTGGAGCCTCATTTCAGTGCACAGCTTGGCTTCCAGTCACTGGCAGAGCCTAGTGGGAAGGTCAACACTTTAATCTCCTGCTCTGCCCTCAGGGAATACTGACTAACTCTTGCTGAACAAGTTTCTCAGGTGTGAGCACAGCATCTTTAGCACTAGGCAGAGAGGCCTGGAAACCAGAGGCCAATTTCATTACAAATGAATTTGTCACAGCGTAAGTGTAGGAGTTGACTCAAAATGTAAGCCTAGAGAACTTGTCTTTTTTTTAGTTTAAAAGTCAGAGAATGCCAGGAGAATTCAATTGGTTGTATATTTGAAGTCAGAAATAGAAGCAACCTTTATTATAAATTGAGCTAAATGTTTCAAGAAGGGCTAACTTGTCCAATTTCAGTTGCAGTATTATCTAAGCTAGTGGTTCTTAATTCTGGCTGCTTAAGAGAATTTATCAGATTTTTTTTAATGGTGATAAGACTCCATTTCATCCCTATTATATAAGAATCTCAGGTGGTGGGGGTATACTAATAGGTCACAGAATATTTTGTCATTGTGCTTTGAGTGTGCTGTGTAAACACATTAACTTTTAAAACTATAAACAATTTAAATATAATAATTTTTAAACATTTAATCACCTTTATTTGTTTGTTTGTTTGTTTGTTTGTTTTTGTTAATCCTCACCTGAGGATATTTTCCATTGATTTTTAGAGAGAATGGAAGAGGGAAAGACAGAGAGAAACATCGATGTGGGAGAAACACATCAATTGGTTGCCTCCTGCAAGAGCTTCACCAGGGCCCCGCCAGCGAGGAGCCTGCAACCAAGGTATATGCCCTTGACCAGAATCGAACCTGGGACCCTTTGGTCATCCTTAGGCTGATGCTCTATCCACTGAGCCAAACTGGCTAGGGCTAAATATAACAATTTTTGTAGCTATGTTTTTCATTTTCTAACTTGCTTTTTTAATTTTATATCATGGCTCTTTTAAAAAGAAATGGATGTGACTGGAGCTTCTCTTGATATCTCAAAGGCACTATCTCAGGTTCTTATTCAAATCTCGTCCTATCCCACCTTGGCTAATTTTTATACTATTTACCTCTCTAATATCTGAGTAGCTCCTCCACACTACCAGTGGATTAAAGGTAGCCACACAATTTCAGCACTCCTGTCGTGGCTAGCTCCGTTCCGCCTCCCCTTAAACCTGGGCTGTCCTATGACTACTCTGACCAATGAAATATGGGAGAAGTGCTGCTGTTTCCATTCTAGACCTAACCTCTAAGAGCCAACAGTCGCCATTTAAGAAGTCTGACTACTATCCTATTGGAGAGACTACAGGGAGACGTCCTGAGATCATGTGGGAAGGAAAGAGTTCTGGCTGTGCCCAGCCTTCCTGTCTTCGCTACTGACATGCCCAGCATGTAGTGAGGCCATCTAGAATCTTCCGCCCCAGCCCCGCTTCCAGCTGAGTGACCCCAGTGAACACCATGTGGAGCAGAAGAATGTCCTGGCCAACCCGTCTCTGAAGTCCTGACCCACAATATTGTGAGATATAATAAAAGGGGTGTTTGTTTTAAGCCACTGAGCTTTGGGGGCCACTTTTTTATGCAGCAACAGGTAACTACGCAAATGTGGTCCCACAGACCAGTAGTAGCATCACCCGGGAGCTTATTACAAATGCAGATTCTTGGGCTCGACCCCAGACCTACGGGTCACGATCTGCATGTTAATAACATCCCTAGGTTATTTGCATGTACATTTCAGCTTGAAAAGCACTGGGATCGCTCCTATAACTGTCCAGTTCCCAAATCAAGTGACTGGAATAAGCTCTTGATTCATATCAAATGTCACACATGCTCTGTGCAAGGCACCAGTTAGGTGCTGCGAGGATGAAACTTCTAGTGACCCTTCTTGTTTGTCCATTTGGTTACAGTCCTTTTTGGTAGTGTCCCTTCATTGCTGAGAGCTACTCTTAAAGCTCCTTGAAGGGCAAGCCAGGTCTTAAACAACTTTGAAATTCCCAAAGAGCCTTTCACAGGATTGAGGTTTTAAAACTCATAAGTGAATGGATGGAGGAAGGAAATAAAAAGAAAAAACTGCACCACCCTGCTAAAAATGGGGAAGGGGTATCTTATGTCTATTTTTAATAGATTAGGTTAGTGGTTCCCAAACTTATTTGGCCTACTGCCCCCTTTCCAGAAAAAAATATTACTCAGCCCCTGGAAATTAATTTTTTTAAATTTTAATAGTAGTTACTCATCACCCCCAAATGCACCTGTGGCCATCACCGCCCCCCTGGATTGCTGCAGCGCCCACCGAATCACTGGATTAGGTTAAAAGGAAACAAAATGGCATATTACTTTTTTACTTTTTTCTATTTAAGATTTCCTTTGCATTAGCATAAAGGCCATTCCTTATTCAATCAAGTGTTAGTAGCTCATTGAGAGTTTGCTATATAGTGCCAACTACAGGAGTTATTAACACCAACTATATCCCATATTAGGTTTTAGGCATTAAGGATATAGAGGTGAATATAAAGACCCAGCCCTGCCCTCAAGGTGCATAGTCCATTGAAGGAAATGGATTCACAAACATAAAATTTCAAGATAATACAGGAAGGTACATATAATTTCATAATTGGTAGGGATCATGAAAAGTTCCATATAATCAATTTGTTAGTTTAATACTTGAATCTACAGTAGAATATCTAGTGTAGGAATCATTAGTAGGACTAACCGGTTTGGCTCAGTGGATAGAGCATCGGCCTGCGGACTCAAGGGTCCCAGGTTTGGTTCCTGTCAGGGGCATGTACCTTGGTTGCGGGCACATACCCAGTGGGGAGTGTGCGGGAGGCAGCTGATCGATGTTTCTCTGTCATCGATGTTTCTAACTCTCTATCCCTATCCCTTCCTCTCTGTAAAAAACCAATAAAATATATTTTTAAAAAAGAATCATTAGTAATGGGGAACTCTCTTCCTCCTAAGGTGTCCCATTGCATATCTGAATAGTGTAAAATTCACTGTTTTCTTATATTGAACTAAAAATCCAAATCCCTTCTACTTATCCGTCCTAGGCCATTCATCACAGAAGCAACGCAAAACATGTCTAATGGCCTCTCTCTCCTTGGTGGCATAGAAGCCTATGAGTGAAGAGAATGGAAATGATAAGAGAGGGATCTGAAGTAAGCAGATGGGAATCATGCTAAGTCAATTAAAAGAACAAACTGAAGAGAAGCAAACAAACAAACATAAAATGAGTCAGCACTGTTGTGTAAATTTCTTCAGCAGTGTCATGCTGAATCAGACCAGGGCACAGAGGGAAGTTTAGAGATCCAGGGCCTGAGACAGGTGAGTAGAAAGCACTCTGATTTTACTCAGTTACTATAATAACTACCTCATGACTATCTCCTGTGTGCCAAATCAGGAGTGCATTTAGGGAAATACTACTAGTCTTTAGAAATAACTTGCTTATAAAAATGTGTCTTTCATCTCGGTTGAAAAAGCCTCCTAGGGTGACGCATAGACATAAACCTTCTTTACAAAAAAGTCGTCTTACCTTTACAAACTTTGCAACAGCTATGAGACAAGGTGATCTGCTGAGACTCCGGACAATCCAAAGCTGGACAGCCTGAACTCTCAACCAGCTTCATGGTCTGCTCCTGTTAGACAACAGAAAATAAATGCTTCCGACTTCTGAATTAGGACTTACTGAGAAGTTTTCAGATCCAGTATCTGAAAGGCTTCTTCTGATAGAAAACTAAAATTTTCATTCTGAGAACCGCCGCATAGGCCACAGGCTCATTAATGATCTTAAATCACAAGGGGAAAGCCTTTGAAATGGACAATCAGCACTTGGAAAGCACTTGAAAATGGATACTGCCGTCATGCCTACAATATGCCAAACATGATCATTTTTCAGGGTAATCCTGAAAAATTCTGCTGGTTTTACAACACATTTGCATATCCAGATGACAATGTGGCAAAGACACAGCTTGAATCAGATCAACAGCTCACTGAAAAAAATAAGTAAATAAAAACTGAGCTTTTTAACATTCTCATTTTAAATTTTTCTAAACTGTTGTAAGGAGATTCTCACAGGTGTCTCTGTGTAGGACTATTGGTGGTCTCCCAACAAAACTATAAGGGGAATGATGGCCGAGTTCATATCTCCTGAGAATGAATGCCTAGAATATCTCCTGACATGTATTTGGTATTCAAAAAAATTCCTTAGAGAGATGAATAAATCAATGTCTTATTACACTTCTAGCAATCAAAGTAGATAAAATCCTTCTCAAGGAGAAACCAAAATACAAAATACTTTTCTGATAAATGTATCAGCCCTGATCTCAAAGCAAACATTTGGCTTCTATACTGTCAGTCTCTAACCTCTGAAAAACTGGGTCATTAACTATGTTATATTATGCTTATTTGTACATAAGTAATAAAATAACTGTTGAAACTTGCAGGCGAACACTTAATGCTGTTCAATAGACTAGATTTTTAGTTATCATTTCTGTAAGAACTGCGTTTATGGGAGAAGTATTCATTTCAACATCTCCCTCTTCCCAGTTTATGTATGAAAAAGATCTTCAAATCATAATCTCTTATCAAGAAAGTAGCACACCCAGCCAGTGTGACTCAGTGGTTGAGCATCAATCTTTGAACCAGGAGGTCACGGTTAGATTCCTTTCCTCTTTGAAATCAATAAGAAATATTAAAAAAGAGAAAGTGGCAGGACATGTATATACAGTGGAGTCAAATGCTAGTCTTCCTTTGACTTGACAGCAATATCCATTCTGATAACGTTATTTCCAGAACCACAGTGTTTTTCTGTGTTACCCATACTCCCAGGACACATTTTCAAGGCCACAAAAGTGACAGCAGAGGAACAAAGAAGGATTAGACTTGACAGCCCAGAAAATGGAAGCATAAGAGAGCTGCCAATTATGTAGAGGTGTAAATACAGAAGCCAAGGGACCTGAGGGAAAAGAAACAATGGAAGCCCTTACTGTTCAGAATTTAGTCAAGAACTACAAAAGCTTATGATAATCTGGGATAGCTGTGCTGTATAATCAATAGCCACCAGCTCCATAGAGCTCTTGAACACTGCAAATGCAGTAAAATATACACAAGATTTTGAAGACTTAGCATGACAAAAGAATGTAAAATATTTCATTAAGAGTGCTATATAGATTACATGTTAAAATAATATTTGATATATGAAGTTAAATATAGAAAATTTAGCCCAATAAAAATTACCTTTGTTGTTTGTATCATATTTCTATTGGACAGCGCAGCATTAGAGGGTAGGAAATGGTGCCTTTTGTTTGAGCAAATAAAATATTTACTAAGCACCCAGAGTTGTCTATAAAGACTTCTCACTAAACCAATTTAAAATTAAAGCATTTTATAGCTATTTTAAAATCAACTATCCCAGTAAATTTCTAAACCACAATGATTAGTATTAGGAAACACAGTTGTCAGATAAAAAGAATACACACACACACACATTAGGTAGAAAAAGTCAATCGCCCTTGAGAATTTTAAATTTAGAGCTGATATTTCAAAGTGAGAGTTTACCATTAGAAGCCAGCTGACAAACGTTTTCCACTTTCCTTAAAGTGACTTTTCTCTGATTCTATTTTCTCAATTTGGAGTCACTGTATCTCCCTCCAATTCTTACTGTATAGTGGGACCTATTCCACTCAAAACAGCACTGGTATAGGAATGCTGACAGAGGGCCGGGCCCCCTTGAAATACAGGTCAGTAATCCATGCTAACAGTCTTCCTATGCCTCAGCTCCCACATCAGAGGAGACCCCATTCAAAACCAAAGGAGCAGCTAGAATACTTTACAATGAGCATGAAGAAAGCAGAGCTTTCATATTCTAGAAATCAAATCTGTCACAGTCTTGCCTCATTATGTCTCCGCTTGCTTATCCCAAAAGTCTTTCAACTTAAGATGCCTCAAGTATGTAGTTGGCTTTTTTATATTCAATTATCTTGGCAAAATTCTTAGGATTTTCCTTTCCCCAACATTTAAAACTCATAAATGTTTGCAGTTTATTGGTGGTGCCAGCATGGTAAATCACTTAACTTAATTTTCTACATAACCTATACATACTAAATCATCCCCAAAACTCATGTATGGGAGGCATTTAAAAAGGAAAATTCAAATTCAAATAGAAATGAAACCCTAAAGCAGAAACTTTATATATAGACAGTTTCCTTCAGGTAGAATGTAGCTTGAAATACATTATTGTCAAGAAATATAGCATTATAGTTTATAAAAGGCAAATATGAAGTGTTCTGAAACATAGTTAGTTTTTCAATGAGCAGATCAAGAAGCAGAGTTAAAAAGAATCGAATTTGCTTCAGAAGCATACTTCAAGAGGCCAAGGCAGTAAATTTAAAAAGAATTCCGCTTCAAATCTTGTAAGATGTTCCTCCCAAAGGGATTAAGATTAATATCGGCCTCATCTCCATCCAACAGCTAATTCTTTTTAGGTAATTTTTATGTTTTGTTTTTAATTGGATTGAGTGATATTTCTCACAAGGGTCAAAACCACAAGTGACAACTGGCTGTCTATCTTTAGCTACATTTTCTTCAAAACAGAAAATAAGGAGCTGATTTGAATTTAGAAAATATAAGATAACTTCATAAAACTTTAATTTCACAAAAATCATTTTTATATATTGGTAAAAATATTTTACAACTATTAATTTACATGTTTGCAAAATAATGGGAATTTCGATATATTTGAACTCTACTTTATATCTTAAATTTTCCCTCAGATGTTTTAAAGGTATCACAAGGGTGAGGCTTTAAGGAAACATTAACTGTGTTTGTATAACTGAAATAGTTTTGAAAAACTCGTGAAAAGTTTTCTTACCTTGCACTCATAGAGAACACATACTCCAGACGAGGAATAGACTGTATGCCTTTCTCCTTCAAAGTAGGTTCGCCCTTGAAATTGGCATATTGCTTTGGGGGAAAAAATACATATATATTTATTTTTTATTTTTCATTAAGAAAAATAGTTTCCAAGTGTTCAGATTATTCTGCAACAATAGTTTTCTGTTCTCCTGCCTTTCCACGGTGTTTGAGTAAGTATACACCTAAGTTCAATCTAACATAAGGCACATGCAGGGTCAAGTTACCATCATGCCCTTTGAGTCCAGAGAGTAAAATAGGTACAGAAAGGGTAAGTGGCAATGGCAAGTCAGAATTAGACTCTGAGAAAGGAGTGCCCATAAACAGACTCTCAGCCAATTATCTGCCGCTAGATGATGTCTCACATAGAGGGATATTAAGCTCTAAATCAAGGTCAACACAAATATGAGAAAAGTTCATTTTTTATATACCATTATAGAACTTTCAAACAGAAAATTCAAAAGAAGCTGTATTAATTTCAGCACATGCATGTATATGTCATGTCATGGGTTGGTATTATTTTATGTTTAAGGACATATGGGTTAGGGCACCCTATTTAGGATGTTGAATCTGGGTCTGCCTTGCTTCCATCACAATTAAATGCAATTTTGGAAGAGAACTTCACATTCATGGGGAAAACATCAATTTAATTAGTGAAAATGTATAGAAAGTGTCTAGTACTTCTTTGAGACTTTCAAAACATTTACTTAAAATTCATACAAGTGTTTAGCCAAGGGAAATTGTGTGCTTGTTTTGAAAGGAATGCTTCACACTACCCAGGTTGACTCCTCACCATAACGGAGACAGATTTACCCTGAAGCCATTGAGGCTTAACCTTCAGTATCAGTCTCTGGCTTAGACCCCCTTCTAAGACTCTGAACTAACTGTTGTTTTCATAATTTTGTGTTCTTTTTCTCTGAAAGGATGACACTCAGCATTGTAGAGACTTGGAAGCCCTACAACACCTCCATCACCTCAAGCTAATTACTTCAAAAGACCAGTGGAAATGATGACAGGAAAAGATTCTGTTAGCCCTATGTACAAAATTCAATGTTCACTTTTAACTACATGAATTTTACAAAGTCGATGTGTATATATCCTTTAAATTTCATTGTAAGACTAGAAGGAAGGTTATTTTATCCTCAGAATTTATATATTCCCATGACTTTTAAAGTATCAAGTTGCACAGAATAATTTTAATACAGAAATTAGACACACTTTTTATTAATAACATTAAATATAAATATATATGGTTGTACTACAAATATTCATATTTAAAGCGTAAATCAACTTTCACCTTTGCTGAAAATTAACTGATTATTTATGCACACTTACATAATGGAAAGCATGCATATTTTTTAAATGTCATCCTACAACCAATCTCCTTACTCAGCTTTTATTAATAATTTCACTATACAATATGTATCACTGGCGAATTGATGTTAAAATTTTGGAGCGCGCTGGAAAAGAATACAACTCACATGCATAAGTTATACTACTTAAAAACTGGCTGAAGCTTGCTCACTCATGAATATTCAACATAAAACCACAGATTTGTCAGCTGCATACTATCTGTCATGTGAATAAATAGCATGTGCATTTACTTAATGAACCTGATTATAAAATATATCTCTCCAACATGTAATTTTTAAGTGTGCTTTTTTCTCTTTTCTTATGAGATTCAGTAACCTCAAAATGCCAAGATCTGGCATGTGTTCAATTACACCTAATAAGTAGCACACTTTATAAGATAATGAGAACAAATAAAACTTTCGTACTCCCATTCAGCACCTGCCATTCAAAGATTTCTAAGCCTATTATATGACTTGATAACTGCAGCCTATCTAAGTCCAAGGGTATGTTGAAGGAAAAAAACGGATGCTCCAAGCCTTTCTCTGAGCAGAGGGGAGAGGAAGTCCTGTAAGAAACACAAGGGTAAGTTCTCCTCATACAAAGTCTTATGATAATTTAATATTCAAGCAGAGCAGATGGACCGTCTGTTAGAAACTCTTAATTCAAAAGATTCAAATAGGCAACTTGTGGGACGATAGGGCACCAAATGGAGCTTGGCAGAGGGAGGAGGCACAAAAACAAACGAGATCACAATTGCTTCATATCCTTCCAAGCAATGAGCACAAACAGGGTGAACTTGGCTCAGGGAGAAGCAAAGTGAGTGGTTTTTGTCTTGAACTCAGAAAATCTATAATCTTTCCTAAAAATACTGCAAAAAATCCTGAAAATGCCACTAGGATGGCCTTAGGACTTAGGAGTAGATTGAAGGGGCAAAAGTCATATTTATTTATTAATACATTTAACAGACATGTACTGAGCTCCCACTATAGGTTGGTAGCCTGCTAGGTTCTAGATTCCCAGATGAATGATCAATATTAAGATAAGTGCATTTTATGTATGTTTTACTTTGATTTTAGGAATATGAAAAGAAATGCAGATTCTTATGTTCAAGGGAAGTAATAACAATAATAATAATTTATTGGGGGGAAAAAGATGAATGAGACTGACTCAGGCCCTCACTATGTAGTAGGACAGACAGGCTCATACACAACTAACTACAACGAAAGCCGAACTGAAGTGCTATAATTGAGAAACTCATAAATTCTAATGTTAGCACATTGAGCAACTCATTAATTCTAATGTTAGCACAGGAGACTGAGTAGTGAACGTCTAAGAGGGGACAACTAGCAAAGGGTAAGGCAACAAATAAAAGACCCTGGCAAGTGGGAAGTCATCTTCACCCTAGGGCTAAGGAACAAGGAAAGGAAATGGTTTTACTGGAGCCCAGTGTGAGCCAGTCACGAACGAGAGGCTGCTGAGTGAGAGCATAATCATGAGACACTCAGCTACTGCCAGAAACACAGGCTGGTGCAGCGAAGGAGCAGGGAAGAGACATGGCCAACTCTCTCTCCTCCCTCTCCTCCTGCTTTCCAATTTCCTGCTTGTGCCTTCCATTGGCAAACCCTATCCAATGCCAGCTGGCAGGGAGGCCAGGGTGATGCAGTCTGCAGAAATCTGGCTCCTGGGGCACAGACCTGGGAAGAGAAGGAGGTGAGGGAAGAATAACCAGCACAGGTGGCTGTCATCTAAATTCACTTGAAAGCATGAAGAGAGGTCCGGTTTACAGGAATAGGTGGTTTTGAAGGACATGAGAGAGTGCAACACAGAACAAATACATTTTAAGAGAGAAAAAATGGAGACATTAAAAAAATGCAAATTCACTGTAAGGAAAAATCCAGAGATTTTCAAAATGAGGTAGGCCAAAGGCAAGAGGAAGGAACTGAGAGAGAGCAAGTGTCCAAACAGGAAGGAACACAGAGTAGGCCTACTACCCAATTTTAACCAAGGCCCCTGCAAGTATGAGGAACAAAGCCTCAGAGATAATAATAATCACATGGCTACCACAATGACTGCGACAAAAACTCTAGAATTCCCTAACGGAAATGTACTTGCCTGCTGACCTTTTTCTAGTAGAGCATATAACAAGGGTGGGGAACATCCAGCCTGCGGGCCATAAAAGGCCTGCAAAATCGTTTGACCTGGTCCTGCCAAGGCATTAGGGGTGAGTTAATTAAATGTTTGACCAAATATAGCTGGCTAATTTTTAAACAGATAACTTTGTATGATCTGCAAATCCTATATAATAAAAGCCTAATATGCTAAGTGTCTGGTCGTCCAGTCGTTTGTTCAACCAATCAAAGCATAATATGCCAAAGATATGCTAAGGCCGCTCAACCACTTGCTATGACGTGCACTGACTGCCAGGGGGCAGACAGTCGACCGGTTGGTTAGCTTGCTGCTGGGGTCTACCAATCAGGACTGAGTGAGATGGGCTGGACATGCCTTAGAGCCCTCCCGCGGTCCCTCCCATGTCCCTCCCCGGCCCTGATCATGCACCGATTGGGTCCCTCAGCCTGGCCTGCACCCTCTCACAATCCGGAACCCCTTGGGGGATGTCGGGGTGCCGGTTTCAGCTCAATCCCTCTCAACACAGGAGCTTCCCCCTGGTGGTCAGTGTGCTCCCACAGGGGGAGTGCCACTCAGCCAGGGCTCACAGGGGTGGCAGGAGCCTCTCCCGCCTCCACGGCAGTACAAAGGATGTCAAACTAAGCCGTCGGACATCCCCTGAGGGCTCCCAGACTGTGAGAGGGTGCAGGCCAGACTGAGGGACTCCCCGCCCCCGGCTCAGTGCATGAATTTTGTGTACCGGGCCTCTAGTGATGTTATAAATATCCAAATGGCTCTTGGCAGAAAAATGATTCCCCACCCCTGGTATGAAGTAAAAGAAATCAATTCTCCAACCAAAAAACAAAAAAATAATAATTATTTTGTTGTACTGAGTTTTTCTTTAATGTAATTGCATTCACATGTTCATAGTCAAAGGCTTCCCCACATCTGATGCTCAAATGTTTGCGTGTGTGCGTATACACTACATTTCCAATATAATTCCAATACCCCAAATCATTTACTAGCTTAAAGCAGAACTCTATCAACTAGGCTACATTTTTAAACATCTATGTTTAAATTATTTATTGAATATAGTGCATGTATGTATTACATATGTATTTTAAGATATGAAATTTCTAGGATAATAATCATGCAATACAGGCCTATCACTTTGCAGACAAAGAAGGTAGCCCCGTGAAATCAGACTAACCCATAGAACCATATCTACTCTTAAATTATTAATATGCCCATCTGGTGTGGCTTAGTGTTTGAGCATCAACCTGTGAACCAGGAGGTCGAGGTTTGATTCCTGGCCAGGGCACATGCACGGGTTGCAAGCTCAATCCCAGTGGGAGGCATGCAGGAGGCAGCCAAACAATGATTTTCTCTCATCATTGATGTTTCTATCTCTCTCCCTCTTCCTTCCTCTCTGAAACAATAAAAATATTTTTTTAAAAAAATTATTAATATTAATCAATGTTAAATGCACATTTACTGTGACTGTGGTAAATGATGCTGCTTGTATAACTCCAGGGGGTACCATTCATATCCTGGTCTATGGGAATTATGGCACCCAGAGCTGTCCAGTGCAC